AAACTCATAAACTGGCCCAACATTTATTATGCCTTTCAAAATTTTGGGCTCTTGAAGAATAAAATGTTTTGCTTCAAGATGAGAAAGTAGAAAACTTTCTCTATCGCACACAACCTATTATTTCAAAAGGCCATGCAATTATTATCATTAATTTAACACATCGATCGACAAGAATAAGACATTATATTGCATGAAATTAGCGTGTAAAAATCTATTAAAATTCCATTGAAAGAATAATTCGGCTACGAATGCATTCATACTTTGTCAATGTAGGTGCACATAAGACGCGCTGCCTTGTTCACCGACGCCCCGATGACGGTGTATTCTCTTCTTAAAACGTGCCCAACAACGCCGCAGTATGCCATTCCAGTGGTGACGGCAATCGATATGGACTTTGTGTTGGAAAAGTTTAAAAGTCCTCGTCTTAGTTTTGAAGCGCAACGCAGTCCGACCTGTGACTCAAATTCATGCTTGTCCCCGCGCAATCCAAAGATGCACAGGTAAGTGAGATCCTTATCGAAGAGGGACATTTTGTTCACGCATCCTTGCATATCCCCTACGACACTGCGTGCGTTATTAGCATATAAAATGCAAGAGTATGATTCATTAAATAAGGCATACTTTGTAGAGAATTGGCATTTCTTATATACATGCTTAGTCATATATATTTTTACTATTAATATCTTAATTGTTGAGAGCTATGCACTTATTATATAGAAAAAGAATATGTATTTCATTTACCCACAAACGAATAAAAAAGTCGAATCAATGAATTTTATAAGCTGTTTTCTATTCAGATTTTCGGTAATAATGTTCACAAATACTATCACAACTTGACGTATTTCTGTTAAATATTCCAGTGGCTCATTTAGATCAACCGATCTTATAACTGGTCTGAACATATAACTTTGGAGCTCCATTTTCAATTTAGCTTGGACAGCTTTTATTACTTTAGGACGAACTAAAGTTAATCGAATCAACTTTTTAATTAAGGAAATATGAATACCTTTTCATTATTGGCTATATTTTAATGGCATCTATACATTTTTATCGTCGTATTATAACAACAACAACAACAACAACAACAACAACAACAATAATAATAGTAATCAATTTACTAGCGACATTCATCGAGCCAATGTTTGATACGTATGATATCGATCATACGTAGCCAACTAAACTTTACAAATAAACACATCGTTATCATTTTACAAAGTTTTCAGATAATTACTTGTAGTACAAGCTTCTATTGAACATTTAAATCTTGAATGAATTGTAATATATAAATTATTTTATTAAAAATAAACATATAGAAATGATTTTGAGTAAATTACGTACTTTTCTATAAGACTGCAAATAGAAATATCAAACAAAAACATATTGTTCGATAAATTATTGTACGATGGTAAATAATAATTACTTACGACTGTAATCTTCGGGATTCTCGGATATATTCGATATAGATAATCGATAAAATAATATTGGCTCGTACAATGTATTGTTGTTTTTTGATAAATCTGTTGTGATGATAGGAGTGCTTTCTAAAATAGACTCGACGCTAGAAATCGAGGCTAAATATTTCATTAAACTACGACTACTATTTAAATAAATAGCGAAATTTTTTTAACAATTGAAATGTCTTACAATTATTGTCACTGTATTCATCTTTTTCATCATCCCATAATAATGATGTTGATATAATTAATATATGAATACCATCTGGCAACATTTCATATATATATTCGTCCAAATTAATCCATTGCCAACAGCTGGATGTAACAATAATTTCACCACCACTTTACGAGGTAATTACAAATAAAAATAATGAGTAATCTATATTTCATTTCAAGAGTAATTATTTGTAATTAATGATTATTAATTAATATACCGACATATTCCTTGTGCAGATTTCACATCGAACACCGGTTGACCCGTAATAACATAATACGTTACTTTCGCTGGATTTCCAATAGACGTAAAATATATTTTTCCTGATGATATTGCCAATTTCACTATATATTAATTATAATTGCACGTTAATTCGATAATATCGAATAGTCCTTAGCTTATGTTATCCTAACTATATACTTTGATATTAATAATAAATAAGTCTCGTATAACCTTTCAAAACAATGTCAACTTCTGTTATTTCGTATGTTCCAAAATACTTTTGTATTATACAAGCGGTTTTTATAGCATCGGTTACGATATCTCGCATAACCCGACCTTCTTCCAATTTCCACATAACTATGAAGGCATCGCCAGAAAACTTGAGCACATCGCCTTTATGCGAGAGGATTTCTTGAACCATTGCACCAATGTACATGTTTAAAGTTTCAGTTATTTTTGAAGGACCACCTTTGCCAAATTTTGTATACTTCTCTGCCATTTCGGTGAAGCCTAATATCAAAGATTATTTATTTAGAAAATTTTTATTATTACTATAGGCTGAAATATAAAATAAAAAATTTTTTTTTTTTTTTTTTTTTTTTTTTTTTCAATACATGCTTATCTCACAATTGCATATTTAAATTGATACTAATAATATATTACAATCCTATGCTCGCTGTGTAACCTTACATAATTTTACATAAATTTCTATTTAGCATTCGTCTATATTTTAAAGATAGCATAAATATAACAAAAGTTTATTCCATAAACTCACTAAAATTATGAAAATTTTTAAGAATTAGATCGGATTCATAGAATGATCGATAGATTTATACAATATCATAATTTTAAAAGTTGTATAGGAGCGATTTTTACAGACGATATTTTTGCAATTTGTGCAAGTCAAATTAATTGATTTGAAGCATAAAAGAAAGGGTAATACTAAAGAAATTTTAATAGAAAAATAAAAAATGAAAGAGTACAATTGTGGCCAATAGCATCTTCGAAACCATTAATAAAAAAAGTATATATATATATATATATATCAAAAAAAAAAAATATATATATATGTATATATATAATTTTGTATAACATCACCAAACAGATTAGATTAGGTTTTTAAAAAATTCCTCCTATTTTCTCTATTTATTTTTAGCATTTTTATATACTTTATTTTATCATGGCAATTTATTCGGAACTACGAATGTTCTTCGATTAGTTAAAATAAATGAGTTATTATGACGAAATGTAGATATAAAAATGATTGAAAATTAAATTTACAATTAAATACAATGATAATGTAGATTTGAGAGAAATAGTTGTTTTAATTAAAAAAATAGATAATTATTAATTTACACACATTATTTAATGTTGAAACTTTACAACATTTACTGTATAAATAATCAAAAGCATCGAGTCTTTTATGCTATTCGTCGATCGAATTCTATATAATTATCTAAGATGTAATTCAATTATTGATAAATATAAATTATAATCAAGGTAAATTAATTTTCTTTATTACAACCACTATAGAGAGTATAAATTACTTATTACAAAGATAAAATTACTTGTTGTTAATTGTTATTAATTTACCCGATACATCTCCTAACATTAACGATGTATAATAACTTCGAGTACTGAAATTATCGTAATAATCCAATATTTCATCTGGACACATGGAAGCAAATATTTTGGTGTGATTTTTAATACGTGTTGAATCCATTTCGGGTTTTCGTTTAACTTCTGTGAGACAAATACTGTCTATTGTATATTAAAACTTCATAATACCAAGAATATAGGTTATATGATTATTTATAAAAGTATTTAGATGTTGTTTTTTAAAGAAAATTTACCGCTAACGTTTGATAAATGTTGCATTAGTGACTCGTTGGTTGCTCTACGTCTCTGTTTCGTTCGTTTTTCAGTCTTTTTGATCTATTATGGCAATGGAAAACAATTAACACGGAGAATATTAAACGCTTAAAAGATAAACCGATAATCTGACAATAAATAAATTTCAATAAGTTTCTAAAGTTGTGTACACTAATGTCTTTTATTCTTTATATATATATATATATATATATATATATATATATTATATATAAATCTCTGGTATTCAACAAATTTGTTCACTAACAATAAATTCTGCTATGCTTAAAATAATAAATATCAAGAATATTTATTTTTATAATGATTTTATATCTATAAAATACGTATATTTTGCATTAAAAATAAAACACAATACTAATTTATAAGACAAAATATGAGACAAACAAAAGACAAAATAATTTTTAATACAAAATGCTAAGATATATCGATCAGTATAAAAACAACCTTTCAATTAAATAAAAATAAGTTAATTGGTAGAAAAAATTCGAATATATATTAAAAAATTTAGTTTTTAACGAAGCGATTGAACCTAAGATATATATATATATATATATATATATATATATTTTACATTTTAATGAGTATTTTTAATTGAATTGGATTAATTTCAAACAATTTATGCTAAGATACTAATTATATTGTATTTTTTATTAGTTAAGTAAAATAGTATATTTAATCAATACGGGAGCAAATTTTTATTAGTTTATGAAAAACATAATTTTCTATCTATCTAGTTTTTATTTTTTTTTTTTTTTTATAAAGAACTTATTATACAATTGTGCGAATGTCAGGCATGTGTGCATTGAACATTAAGGATCTGTAAAATTTCCATTATAAAATCATTTAATCTCAACTACACTTTACTATAATACATAGACATCGTATTTCACTGCAATAGGATTTTATAACTAAAAATTCTAATCAGATAACGTAAATATAATTTTACATGCAATATCATTAAATTATTTATTAAATCTAATTTCTAACAAATGCATATCCGTATACATTTACCTCTTAAATTTACTTATATCACTCTTACGTACTAATTACTTACGCACTAATGCATCTCGTACGATAACGATTGCAATTTGTAAATCGGATATAAAAAATATTTCCCCAATATTGATATTTTGTCCATTTATTCTAAGAAATCTCTAAAATTATATTAACAGTCTTATAGAGAAGTAAATGCGTAAATGCGAAACTAATATCTGATAATTCGGTGGCTAATAGTTTTGTGTGCGCCTATGCATATGCGTATGCAGCCATGTGTGCGCGTGTGCGTGAATTAGAAATTTTGAATTGCAACTACAAGTATGAAACGTTATTTACGTAATATCTGTTTTCAAATTAAAGTAAATCATTTGAATCGTCAAGTGAAATTAACTTATTGATAATAATATCATAAAATTTTTAATATTTTTCTCATAACACGTGCGCAATGCCAATTATTGTACTAACTATCTTTATCAGTATTGGCTAATTTTATCTAAATTCTATGTATAACAAATTTAAACTATTTCTTAAATAGTTTATTAGCGTTACGTTTAATATATCTATTAGTAAAATTTTGTAAATATAAGCATTCAATTGACAAATCGATTTTTTTTCTAAAGAACAAATAATTGTCCATTTAAATGGTATTTTTAGTATTAGGTTATGTAAATGTATGAATTCAGCAATTCAATTGTATTGAAAAAAGTATAGAAACATTATTATAATAATGTAATATAAATAATGCTCTTAATATTTTCATAATATTTTATAATTCCGGGTATAATAATTTGTTTATTAATTTCGCAGTTTATACTATTGACAATGCCAACCATTATTGCATAAGTATATTAAAGTGTATATTATATTTTTGTTTTGCTTTGTAAATATCTTTGCACAATAATGGTATTCTTAATTTTTATTTAATATGGTGTAGAATAATATTTTTTTTTTTTTTTTTTTTTTTTTTTTTTTTAAAATAATGTCTATAGATTCATTATATTTGTTTAATTATATTTAATCGTATTATAACTTACAGGATCCAAATATTGTAATGGATAATAGATATTTATTTGTTACCTAATTAATATAATTCACATGATATAAAATGATGAATTTTAATAATCCACTGGGTCCGAAGCCGGTGCTACCTACGGAAGAAAATAAAGAAACTTCAAACGAACGAGTTCCATTTTTGATGTACGATGAAAAAATGGATAAAATTGCATTGTACCTTATTGGTAATCATGAAAGATTTCGAGAAAATATAATAATACCAAGGGTCTTAGGTGGAGGTTATATTAAATCTAACGAAGAGAAAACTATCGAACGTTTTATGGAAAGCTGCGCTTTCAAAAGTATTATGAGCTGTATCATAGGTACGTAATTCTATGTTTAAATAGGCGATCTGAATTATCGTACAGATAAATAATTATTTACGAGCACGCGGGCGTAAAAATATCATTATTATAATTAATTTTTCTAAGAATAGTTTTAGAATGTATCATTTTTCAGGGCTTGGACTTGGAGGTGTATTAGGCTTGTTTACTTCAAGCGTCAACCCAAATGTTGAAAAACAGCAGACAGCTCGTGAGGTTTTTCGAGAAATGAAATCTACAACTGTGGCATATGCAAAAAATTTTGCTGTGATTGGTTTTGTATTTTCAGGCGTTGAATGTGCGATAGAAACAGTAAGTTAAATTAATAAATCTTATAGCTTTTGTTTATTGTCATTGAAAGGTGTAAATAAAAATAAATGTGAAATATTCTCAATTATTGCAAAGTATTATCAAACATAGTAGTATTATTATAATTTTAATATATTATAATAGTATTATCGTATAATACTTTCTTAATGCAGAGTAAATTATTATTAGAGAAAAATGTGTTTTAATTTTTAAAGAGTGTAATAAAGGATTTTTTTTCTTTTTGGTTAATTTATGATAATTTTATGTATTAATAATTTGCTAATGATTGTTTTGAAAATATAATATATACTTCATGAAATTGCTGTTTCAGTATAGAGGTAAAACAGATTGGAAAAATGGCACATATGCTGGTGGTTTAACGGGAGGACTGTTAGGCCTTAGAGGTATATACGTGACACTTTAAATTAAGAGATTCATTATTATTTATTTTACGTATGTATAAAAAAAAAAATCGTCTTTGCCTTTTAGCTGGCGTAAAGGCAGGTATAATCGGTGCTGCCGGCTTCGCAGCCTTTTCTACAGCCATAGATTATTATATGCACAAGTCCTGAGTCACATGCAAACGCTGCAAAACTGCTCACAACTCTCCGTATTTCTTAAGTCTCGATATGTAAAAAGTAAAATGTAAAAAATTACCAATATTGATCGTACGTAATGTAATGTAAAGCCAGTTGACAAGTCAGAATAATCTGTATACAATATAAATATAAAAGATTCTGTTAACATGTAAAAAGTTTTCAAAATCTTTCTTACATCTATTTAAGTCTGGAATTATTCAGTAGAAATATTGAATCTAAAATTTTTAATACACAAGAAGTCGAGATGGACTATTTTTATATGCGTTTTAACAAGATAAACATTAAGATTTGTTTTAATTATTTGTAATGCATTTTGTATATTTCGACATTTTAAATATTATATATTTATGTTTATAACGAATAATTAAAAACAATATGTTATGAAAGTATGTTTGATAGGTACACGTTAAAAATTCTTTTCTCCATTAACATAAAAAAATATAAACTAAAATTATTTTATATTCTATTATTTAATGAAACTTAATTGTATATTATGTAAAAATAATCCATTCATATAAAGTAATTATAAAAAAGTACAACTAGTACACAAACACAACGCTCGCGTCGTCTGCTAAGGACATTCTTATGAAAATATATATTTATACATATGCATGTTTGCAGCGACAAACTTTTATTTTCTATTTATAAACATTAAATTTGTAAAATAGTTTTTCTTATATTTTATTTTTTTAATTGCAAAAAACGTAAAATACGTATATGTGGATGTTGGAAAAGATTTAATTTTTCCTATTCTTGTTAGAAGAGTCTAGCATCGATAATATGTTTGTTTCATTCAAAAATATAAAAAGCATAGGTATTTAATTTTGGCTTGCAATACTATCGAATTTCTTTCTTAATTTGTAATATATATATATATTTTTAAAAAGGTAGTAAAAGTATAAGTAACAAAATTTGTAATCAAGAATGACAACTGCAAGGCACTTCATAGGTTTCACTATTAATTTCTTTGATAAAAGTTGCTGAAACCACTCAGTAGATAGTGAATTGCTTGTCATGTTTCTTGTTAAGAGTATTAATTCTTTAAAGAATAAAATATAATATGAGAACACAGTTAATCGTTGATGCACTTGAGATCCAATTAGTAGGTTAGGCAAAAAATTTGAATTGCCCCTGTTAATTAATCTTAGATGTTTATAAGATATATTATCTAAAAATCCACAGATATTCTTCCTTTTCAGATCTTACACACATTATTTTTAGCATCTGGTGTCTCGAAACTTTATTGCTGCTGTTGTTGCATCTGTGCTTGCATTACAGCTAACATTTCTTGCATTCTTCGTAATTCTGCTTCTTTTTCTTGTAAAATACGGTCTTTTTCCGAAACAGCATTGTTTTTATCACTATCGATAACCCTGGAGATTGAATAATACTTATATTATATTAATGAAAATATTTACATAAAGGCAAACAAATTTATATAACTGTCTTAACATATTTCATTGAAAAGATAAAATAGAATTAAAAATAGAGAAAAAAAACAAAAACAGAGATATTATTGTAAATAAATTTAAAAAAGACAATATAATAGTACTCGTTTGATTACATTTGAGCACATTTAGTGAAGCTTCAATCAGCTTATACAACGCATGTGCAAAGTACTATGTATTATTCCTAATTAAAATTATTGAAATAAACAGTCTAATGTATGTTTTAAGATTAAAAAAAAAAAAAAAAAAAAAAAAGGGGAAAAAGTAATAATTATTCTATTTACGTTTGACGTCTAGGAGGGACTGGTGCTCCTTTGGCTAATCTTTCGCTTCTATAGTTTTCATAATGAACTTCTTGAGTAACTTCTTGCAAGTCCTGCATATGAGTGCTAAATCATACAATAAATAATAAAATAAATGTTAATAAATTGCCAATGAAACAATATAAAGTATTTGATTAAAATTGTAATTAGATTATCTAAAATAAATCGCAATTACGTTAGTTTTATATCAATTAATTTATTATATTATTAATATACTGACATTAACATAGTTCTGAGTTTGATAAAGTCACAGTGCTCTGGATTTTCCACTTCTACAACACCCCAAGGATAAAGTCTTCCACGAACTTTTCTTCCTTTCACCTCTAACAGTGTAGTCGCTCCACAAACTGCAAAAGGAACTGCTTCCTTTAATTGCTTTACTTGCTCTTTATAATCTTCATCTTCATCACTGTCACAGTCGGGTAAGGGATAAATTTTTATTCCATTTTCCTCGATTTCTTCAAGGACGCGCTTCTTCAGCCGTAATATTTCTTTTTTTGTCAGGACGTCAGCCTTAGCAATTACAGGTACTATATTGACTTTATTGTGCAGTTGTTTCATAAATTCGATATCTAATGGCTTAAGTCTTGCAAATAATACAGAAAAACGTGTAAGCAATTATCAAATAAATCAGAATTATAAGCTAAACAGAAAAGTTGCAATATAAAATGTAAGGTTTTCAAAATAATGCAATAGTAGATGTAAAATAATGTTTACCCATGACCAAACGGAGAAATAAAGTAGAAACAACAGTGTATTCTATTATCGACGATATTTCTTCTGTTTAAACCACTTTCGTCTCTAAGAAACCTCTCAAATTGATCGTCAATGTATTGTATGATAGCTCTAAAGCTATCTGTATTATCTATCGCATCTCCATATCCCGGAGTATCAACTACAGTTAAACGAAGTTTCACACCTCTTTCTTCAATTTCTACTGTAGAAGCATCCAATCTTACCACCTGATTAGTTTTTTCTGTATAAAGTCGAATGAAATATTAAGAAAACTTTTATGTAACTAGGAAGGGGAGACGACTAAAAATTAAAATTACTGCTACATTTAAAAACATTGAAACATAAATGTTTGGCACATTTATTTAATAAACGTACGTGTCTTTTTAAAAATTAATAATTATAAAACAGAAAAGATGAAATTATTAACTCATAGAAAAAAAAGTACTAAAAGAACAAGACTAAAAATTCATAAAAGTAAACAATTTTTACTAACAAATTATAAAAATAAGCAACTTTATGAATTAAGGAGACGTATTCTTGTACTTACTACAAAGTTCTACCATTGCTTTGATTTAATGAAATATAAAAATTATTAGTCAGAATTAAGAGAATTAATCAATAATAAAATTAACATAATAATATTTACCCGTTGCATTTGGAATAATTCGTTCTGGATATAAGTCGGTAAGAAAAAGACTGTTAACTAATGTTGATTTTCCAAGTCCTGATTCACCGACGACCATTAGTGTAAATTCGAAGCCTTTTTTTACAGATTTTCGATGTACTTGATTTGGTAAATTGGCAAAGCCCACATAACCTGGAGTTTCTAGGCTGGCAAACTGAAATATATGATATATATATATATATATATATATATATATATATATATAAGAATAACTCTGTTTAGTAAATATTTTATTATCTTTAAAATTTTTAACTATACACCTTTGGTAGTAATCATTCGTAATTCATTAGATTAGTTCATTATAATATTTTATTATTAATTTATTGTACAATCATGAAAATATGTATTAAACCTTAATCTCAGCTTATGATTTCTAAGTTATCAATTAAGTAACTTTATAAACTAGAATTACTTAGCAATTTATGATAAATTATGATATACTGACATATATTTTAATATACCATTAATATGCACAAGTATAATAAAGAAGCGCCTATACATTGGAATGTTAATTGTACCGTTAGAAGAACGGTAGGTATTGTAACAGTCAATATTTTCTAAATGTTATTTAAAAAGTATCATAAATAAGCTGTAATCGAAGTAATCATAAGTTATTAATTATTGTCATAGTTATTTTTATAAAATATTTTTTGTCAAATTTCTTACTAATGGAAATATATTGTCAACGTAAACAATAAATGAATACAGAATTACAGAATAAAATTCTAAAAAAAACATTAAAAAACACTATTTTCAATAATAAATATTCTAAACATATGTTCAACACTAATTAAATTATGATAATATGTTTTCAATATTAATTATATATTTTGTTTTTTTATGTAATTTGTGAATGCAATGTTAATTTCAAATTTTACGTTTATCCGCTTACCACATTAGTTTTATATTCTTATTTTTTCTGTGGATGGCATAGAATTTATACCTTCTTTTTAAAAAAAAAAAAAAAAAAAAAAACCTATATTAATGCACATAGTAATAAATTTCCAATAAAAAGCAAAAACAAAAACAAAAACAATAAAAGTGATTTACCTTTCGTGAATCCATTTTTTATGCCCTAAGATGATACAGAAAACGTATGTACGCGGAATGTATGCGAAGCCGTTCAACCTTAAGTCAATAACCCAGAAAAAATTGCGTGGGAAAAAGACGCGAAAAGAATGAGAATATAAAAATACTTTACGATCGATCATTCATTTCGGGCAAATGCCAACGTACTGATTGGCGATATTCCGGAGCCTATCCAATATCTTTCCGGTTAATGTGAATTTTCGCAATGCTATGAGATTTTAACCCCCTCTATTAGAGATTTTTATCATCGTATTAGACTGCTATCTAATACCAAATCCCCGTCCATTAATATAATAGTGTTAGAGTGTTAAGTAGCGGTAGCGTAGCGGTAAATGAGAGGCCCGGGAGACATAAATTTCTCTAAAATAGTTTTGCCATTGTAATTCCGAGAATTTTATTTCGCCACCTAGCAAAAACTAAACAAAGAACTATAAATAAATGCAGAGGATGTGTGCGTCATCCGAGACAAAACCGAGGCTCTAAAATTCAGATTTACGAGCTCCTTGGTATTGCATTGAAAATTAATCATATAAACGAATTAAATTATAACGCGTATGGGTACAACGATCTTATGTATAACACAACAACAACAACAACAACAACAACAACAACAACAACAACAACCAATCAACCAATCATCAAAAACAACACAACAACAACAACAACAACAACAACAACAACAACAACAACAACAACAACAACAACAACAACAACAACAACAACAACAACAACAACAACAACAACAACAACAACAACAACAACAACAACAACAACAACAACAACAACAACAACAACAACAACAACAACAACAACAACAACAACAACAACAACAACAACAACAACAACAACAACAACAACAACAACAACAACAACAACAACAACAACAACAACAACAACAACAACAACAACAACAACAACAACAACAACAACAACAACAACAACAACAACAACAACAACAACAACAACAACAACAACAACAACAACAACAACAACAACAACAACAACAACAACAACAACAACAACAACAACAACAACAACAACAACAACAACAACAACAACAACAACAACAACAACAACAACAACAACAACAACAACAACAACAACAACAACAACAACAACAACAACAACAACAACAACAACAACAACAACAACAACAACAACAACAACAACAACAACAACAACAACAACAACAACAACAACAACAACAACAACAACAACAACAACAACAACAACAACAACAACAACAACAACAACAACAACAACAACAACAACAACAACAACAACAACAACAACAACAACAACAACAACAACAACAACAACAACAACAACAACAACAACAACAACAACAACAACAACAACCAATCAACCAATCATCAAAAACAACAACAACAACAACCAATCAACCAATCATCAAAAACAACCAACAACCAATCAACAAACCATCGACAATAATAATGAGTAATAAATTATAACAATCATTATTATTGTAAAATAATAAGTAATTAATAATCAATAATAAATACTAATAATAATATTAATAATAAATAATAAATAATAATAGTAATAGTAATATACAAACCGATCTCAAGCTTTCGTTGGACATTTTTTGGATTAAATTTAATTATTCACAGTAGAAGATGTCACATAAACGCTTTCTCTTTAATGAAAAATGAATGTAAAATAATATAATGCTCAGAATTAAACTGGATTGAAATAAAAAATCTTATATTAACACTCGATAAATTTATATTTAGTAATGAAAAAAATTTTTGTGATCTGCAAGGTTATATTTGTATCTAGAAAAAAAGTTGCGCGCCGACCTGCACGCAGTTTTATTCATACGTAAATTCTTAATTTATTTAGTACATTCACGCGTACAAAAAATATCCGAGTGACTCAATTACAATTCTGCGCCTTCACCTACGCATACACGCGCGTGCGCCCATTAAAAAAAAAAAAAAAAAAAATACATATTTACACACGTACGCACTTCCGCGCGCGCACATTTATATATATATATATGTATATATATATATATGTATATGCATATATATATATACATATATATATATATATGTATATGTATATATATATATGCATATATGTATATATGCACGCAAGGGCATACGCACGCAAATGTATTTATTTGCACACGCGCGAGTTTCGCATGCATTGGGTTCGCATAGGAGCGCCTACATAAATGCGTATAATATGAATGGTTAAAAGTCGTTGTAATAACGTGTCCATGAGAACGTCAATTGGAGAGTTTGGTTGACGGAGTCGGCGCACGAATGCCGACAATGACGAATGAACGAATGTCTGCTGCTTAATATACGAGTGACTTAGCCTTTGCAAAGTCGTATTTACTTCTGCTTATGTGTTTCCCCGCCATCGTATTGAATGGCATGGCGAAGGGAGGGGAGGGACATCGAGGCGTGGTCTGTCTCCGAAACTCTAAAATTAGAGCAATTTTATCTAGATATATGACAATTGTTATCGTCATTATGGTCAACGTCCTACAAGCCTCGACTCTTAATAATAATCATAATTATGATTAATTATTAACCTGAATTACGAGTAATAATAAGTAACTGGGATAGAAATGTAATTTTAATAAAACATTCTATGTTCTTAGCGTTTAATTTCAAAAAATTATTTAATACGAATGTTTTCCACTGTAGAATGTCTATTGAAATATCTCAAATTTCCAATAGAAACACATCTAATAGAAATTAACGTGCCATTAGGCCAGGAATATATGCCTTTAATAATTTATACGTGTCATCATCGTATGTGATGTATGTTAATATTTAAAAACTACTCTTCAATATATTTCTTTAATATAACAGTTTGAAGAATCAAGCCACCGATGCTTAAGCACACGAATACATTTTTATTATAGTAATTATTGATAAGAAAATAAGCATACGAACGAAGAGCCTAGCAGCACATCAATCTCGTTATATATATTTTTCAATAATTTGTCAAATCCTTAATAAAATCATTCGATATTATTAATAAAAAAAATTTTATTAGAGATTCCTAGAGACCGAGCTTGTAGTTTTATTTGAAGTAATGAGAAGTAATTATGCTCTTAAATTAATTGCCTATAAATATTACAATATATTTATTATTTCTACAAATTTGAAAATTAACAGAAACAATGTACGAACATATTCTCGGCGCGCATACTTTTTTTTTTTTTTTTTTTTTTTTTTTTTTTTTTTTTTAAATAAATATTGCAAAGAGATGACCTTCGATCGATATACAAAATTCTCTACATTGTATAATATTTATTTAATTCTATGACATTACTTATGATAATACTATCGATAAGTTATATTATGATTAAATAATTTCTCTTGTACAAAACTTAAATCAAATGTAATTGGCGGTATGTAGTAATTATCAGTTGAAAAAAAATTTTTTTTTCGATCAATCAATACACGTAGTAAAGCTTTTTGCTATCAATAACACTATATAAAGAAATCTCAATTTTATTATGAAATATATTAAAGTTATTGACATAAAATTTTAATAAATAATAGAATATAGAATATATACGTAAAGCTAATATAATTTAAATGCCATTACATTCAGGATAAATAATAAAGTGCTTAATCATGCTATTATAGACAATTTATTTATGACATTAACTTTAACATTTAAGATACTATCAGTTTCAATAAATAATAAAAATTAAAATATAATTTTTCAACAAAATTGCGGAATTAGCTTTTAAAGATATATTTTTTCTATACACTACGTTTTTGTGTATTTATCGAGTGAAAGAATTTTTTTACCGTTTTAATGTAATTTTTCTTTCTTAAATTTGAAAAAAGAAAATTTTTTTTTTTTATAATAGTTATATAAATTCTCTAAATAAATTTAAATTAAAATATTTAAATGTTTTTAATAACGTTAAAGTTTTAATTTAAAGTTAAAATTTTAATTCTTTAAAAATGTTCTTTAATACATACATTTTAATCATTAATATTGCCATAACTTGTATAGAAAAGTTAACACCAAAATTTCAAATTTATTTATATATAAAATTAAAGTAAGACAAAATTGAAATCATAATTAATACGACAATGTATTTATTTATTTATTTTTTTTTTTTTATTTTTTTTTTAACAATCAATAGAAGTTATAGGTTTTGAAACATAAATATCAATATTTTGATTGAAATGATCAAACTATAAGAACTTATAAATTAATATCTTAAATTTAAAATAATTTAAAATACAATCAATAGTATCATTATGGTATTAAAGCATTCAAAGAAGTTTACTTCAATTTTCAATTTTAAAATACAAATGGTAAAAAAATGATATATGAAACAACAGATAATGATTTATGTACAAAGGATATTTAAGATGTATAAAATTTTGTTAAGTAAAAAACTGTTTAAACTTATGAGATAAACATTTTTATATTAAAACAATTTTTGTAATCAGTAATTTAGTCATAGATATGTATAATTAGAATTTTTAATTACGATATAGTAAAATATACAATATTATACTACATTTATAATACGAAATTACACATCTACGAGTTACTTTGCTAAACTCATTAATCTATTTTCAATGTTTTTTTTTTTGTTTTAGTTTTTGTTTTTGTTTTAAGAAATAGCAAACCTACAAAAAGATACAAAATATAAATTATTAATATATATATATATATATATATATATATAACTAAAATGAATACATTTTTAAGAATATAACGATTCTTATAATTGGATAGAAATGGTAACAATCGTAATACATCTACAGTAAACCGTAAAAAAAAGAAATAATATGTCATTCTTTTACTTTGATCGTTAACGTTTTGAATATATCTAAATAATTAAAAATTAATTTTCTTAAACTATAACAATTCAGTACTATTATATATAAATAATTTACAGTAGGCTAGAAAATAAATAGAAATTTTAATCAAAGCGACTTAAGCATCAAGGGTTATAAAAAGGTAAATGAATCAAGAGAGAAAAAAATCGTTAAGAAATAATAATTCCATTATGATACTGATTTTTAAGGTAATAATAAAGTCTTTAATAATATTTATTTCTTAATATCAAATAATTGATTGTTTAAAATTAATTTTATAAAAATTTAACCATTAAAGTATGATAATGAATAAAATACAATGAAATTAATTGAAAAAAAAAATGTGGATATTTAAGAGATAAGAAGTAATAGAATTTCCCCGATATTATAATCGTATATTTCAATCAGATTAATTGAAATGGGCGTGGCATAAT